ATTAAGGTCATCGTCAGCAATTTATCGCAACTATAAATACTTTTTTAATACTTATTACTTCCCATCAGCACCTTAAAGGGAAGTAACCTAAGATAGGATTTATAGATATGTACTGCTTACTGTATTAGTATTTGTTGATTCTTCAAAAATAAACACCTTCCAACCCTTAATTGCCTAGAACTTTATGTTATATTATCCAAACTAGAGAATGAAATAGAGAATAGTATTTTATAAGGTTGAGACTCCACATTTTACTTATTATTAACCAGAAGGCTGTGATGTTTCCGTAATAGTTTAATTGAAAACGTTATATTTTCTTTAATAATTTTTGTTAGGAGTTGCTGTTGTGCGCTGTGCTGTTGTTTATATAATTATGCTCTCCCAGTTTTCTATTATCTAATATTTATAAATCTAAATATAGGAAATTATTGCCAGAAATATAAAGCACTGCTTCAGAAAGACAAACTTTCCTCTTAGTCTATGAATCATTGGGGGAGACATGTATCTGTTGATGTTAATTGCATTTTAGGATAACAATCTACACCTAAACACAATAGGGTTAAATTAGATTACGTAACCTGAATTGATTATCCCAATAGAAACATGGCCGCAAAAACGTCCGAATAACTTTTGGGACTAATGATCGCGAATGTTCGGTGCTCAATTGACGTTGAGACATTATTCATATGTTTATTACACGGTTGTTTCATTGAAATTTATCGAAGCATTGCATTTACAGTGAACGTTTTTTAATAGTTTCCACCAATTATCCGTAGCAATTACCGGTAACAAATTTACAAACATAACTGGAATAATTATTGCAAACCAATTTGCTAATAACCGAAATGTTTACAAATTGTTTTCGAACATTTGTGGTTGTTTTGATTATCAATTTGAAAACTATTATTGTAAAAGTTGAATGTAATTATTTCACGATAAATTGCTGATGTTTAGCTTATAGTTTTTGGGGAAGAAGGGGTACCTATTTCTTAGCTTGACGATACAAGGGGAAAGGGGGAGGGGGTCTAGGGAAAAGTGACGTTCGCAGTTTATCAATTTTATTTTAATGTTTTTCTTAACTTAACAGTTCTTAAAATTTTTTATCATGATATAAAAGTCATTTTCATTGCTATTTTTAATCACAAGAAACAGGTTACAGGTAGACTATCTTTTGTGAAGTAATATTTGTTAAGGGGTTGCTGAATGTTTGACTTAGCATGACGAAAGGTTAGGAAGGGGTCCAAAAAGGTGAAATTCTGAGTAGTGGATTTTGTAGACGATACCGTTATTAACTATGCGAAACATGGACAGTGGGCGCGGCGGAAAGGAAAAGGTTAGAAGCATTCGAAATGTGGTGTGAGGATAAAGTGGATAGAAAATGTTAGAAATGAAGAGGTATTGGGAAGAATAGGAGAACAGAGGACTCTATGAAAGTCAATAAAATATAAACGAGATAGGTTGGTAGAACACCTTCTCAGACATGAAGGCATAGTCAAAGACATATTAGTGGCAGAAACAGGAGTTAGGGGGGATAGAGGTAGATCTAGATTAGATTACTGTTCGCAGATAGTTAAGGATGTGGGTTGTTCTAGTTTTAGGGAAATTCGAGGTTTATTTCAGGATAGAAAAGAGTGGAGGTACGTGTCCAACCAGTCTTAGGACTGACGATGATGATGATGATGATGACCGTATTAACTAATTCGTAAAAATTGTATTATCACCTGTTGAAAATATATAGGTACAATAAAAGCTAAAACGGTAAATACTTTGGGTACATATTAGTAACTGTTATTCGCTTCAACCCTCAACTCCTTTTTAAAATAGGTCACTATTGGGACTGGCGATATTTTGATGTAATAAATAATATGACATTGGCAATAATTACTGGAGTTTCCCATGAGTATGTGCCACCAGGATCTTCAATAAATGCTAACAAAAGCAATTGGAGCTAGGCAACTTTTCATTTTACCGACTGCAGTGCCACTGTCCAAAGTACTAATGCGACCATTTCAAGGATTTGTAGCAATAAAAGTATGACAATAAGTCCAAGTATATTCTAGTTGCGGCACTTTAATAATTCTTCCAGGAACAAATTTTTCTATTTACTGACACAATAATTATCTTAACTAAAAGTACCTTTCAGTAATATGGTTACCAACTTCAGGGGCTGAAGAGTTTTCTTCAATTGGTGTTCCTACGTATGCTGTGCATCACCTGTTTCACCATCCTAACTCACTTATAATTCAGATTCGCTTCTAATTCTGATTGTATTTTTAATTTTGGTAAACNAGCCATAACCTTAATATTTAAAACTAGAATCATACTAAAATTATAAAGTGAGAAATTATTTATTCATGTGTAATTGATTAAACACAATTCTAATGATACCATATAAGTATTTTGAGGTTAAGAACCTACCTGTTGCAATACAACAAAGTTGCAATAATGTGTTTGCCACGTTCTCTTAAATCGGCTTTGCACGTGCAAGTCATTGATATGATATTGCTTAAATCACCCAAAATCACCTCATCAATTATATAACGTGAATCACTTTTTAAATCCGAAGTTTGTAAAAAGTAGGCAGTAAATTTGACGGAATTTGAAGGCTAGCTTGCGGATTTGTTATTTCCGAATTTTATAATGTGATTGGCATTAAAAACACGCTCACCTTCAACGAAATTTACTTTCCGAGGCTTTGTGTCAGCCCAATCACATAGTGTGTCAATACTTATCATTTTATCGTAATTTAAAAACTTGAAAATTGCACGGTACACTATAGGAACTACGATAAATTTTCCCTAATGGCGCCATGTTTTTAGGCTCCTCCCATTTGACGGATCCCAATAGGTAATCGAAAAATTTGGTAAAATTTGGAAAGTTTGTAACCATGCAGATTCAGCAAGTTTAACAATATTAAATACGTACTCGTATGTATATAGACACATGGGTTACGCAGGGTCCTTTCCATCTAAACGTACATTACGCACAATGGATGAGAGCTTTATCTCATCATTCAATCCCTAGTATTCAATTAAAGCCACTATTTGACATGACGATGGTTAACAATGAAATTTCCGATATCGTACAAGGTGCATGCATACATAAAAGACGGATAAGCATCGACGTGTCAGGTGCACCAGTTCCTGATTAATGTCGGCCGCTGAAGGCAATTTGATAGAGTAACAGGTGTTGGTACATGCAGCCTATCATTGCCTATTTGCACATCCTGCCCATTATAGATATCTATCTCATAAATTGACGCTAACGTCGCGCCGGCGCCTGTTATTACCGTCTTTGAATAAATACGCAACGTTCTTGTCCACTGCAAATTCAAATTTTGATAGTTGAAAACAAAATGATGAAAAGTATATACCTGCATAGGTAATTAATTCTGATACTTAGTTAAAGTATTTTACTGATTGTGCAGAAAAGGTAATAAATTAGAAGATACTTAAAAATGTAGGAAAATAGAAGATACTCAGGAAGTTAATAAGAAAAAGGAATGTTAGGATTCTAAGACATGAGGCATGAAAAACTAGTTAAAAACATACTAGAAGCGGAGTTAGAAACATATTAAAAGTAGAAATTGTGGTGAAGAGGGGCAAAAGAAGACCTAAGTTGGGTTTCCATTCGCAAATGCGAGGTCTGTTCAAAAAGTATCGCGAATTTTGTACTTTTTTGTCGTCCTCTCATCGGCCTCTTCAGTTTTGGTAACAAGAAAAAGCCACAGGTGGTCAGATCTGGAGAATAAGGTTGCTGCGGCATTATTAGTGTTATTTTTGGCCAAAAATTTGCGCACAAGCAATGATGTGTGAGCAGGGGAGTTATCATGGTGCCGAACCAACTTTTGTCCTTCCACAAATCCAAGCGTTTCTGACGGATTACTTCGCGAAAATTGCGCATAACTTGTAGGTAATATTCCTTATTGATAGCTCTACCCTGTGGCAAGAACTCGTGATGCACCACGCCCCTGCAATCGAAGCAAACTGTAAGCAAAACCTTCTCATTCGACCTAACTTGGCGCGCTTTTTTCGGTCTTGGCTCGGATGATTTAGCTCTGGTTTCCACTTCATAACCATAAACCTATGATTCGTCATCAGTTCTGACTCTCTGGAGCGAATTTGGGTAGTCGCGAACAGTCCAACAGCTCCTTAGAAATGTTGTCTCATGCCCAAAGTAGCTAGCATCAACATATACCACAGTCAACATTCGGATTGCGTCCGCACACTTAATTTTGCCTTTCACACACAATTTTATACAGATTCTTTGATCAATTGTTTGGAATAGGCAAAAATTGAAGACGAGCCAAAACACGTACAAGCAAAGCAGCTGCTGTCAAAAATTAACATTCAACACGGCCAAACATATCGGTAAAAGTGGGAGACATGAGTACCACCAAAAAACATTGAAAACCGAATATACGTAACAGGCGAAAATTCAAAATTCCCGATATTTTTCAACAGACTTCGTAGTTAGGGATGCGGAATTCTGCAGCTTTCAGGAAGTGCAGCGGTTGGCGCAGGATACAAAGACATATTAGACTCCATTATGTGATAATGATGATGATAATCTTTTGTTAATAATGGTGAAATAAAAAGTAAACGATTTCCTACTCTTTTAATAGGTACGTAAACATAAAAATATATCTGCCATATTGGTTAGAAATCTTCTGATCGAACTATAATTGTCTCTGAATGCATCAAAGAGTAAGTGCACAATACGGTAATTTTCAAAATAAATTCTTGAAGCACGAGTATTAGAATACATTTTTGGTTTCCTTTTGTAACTCTGATCTATAGTATAGGAAATAAAAACATGAGTGCTATGCGCCATGAAGATTTAAAACTGCTAATTATATTCGGAGTCATTTTAGGTTGATATTTTGTATATGTATTGTAATGTAATACACAAATAGTGCAAGAACGATTTTAAAATGAGAATAGAGAATCAAATCACGAAACCACTCGCAGTTAGGTAATCAATTATTTTGTTGTTTTCAGGTATCGTGGATTCGTAAACGAGATCTTCACATTCTGACTGCCGGCATCCTGACTTATACGTCCGATCAACGGTTTCAAGTGATCAGGCCGGACAAATCGGACAACTGGACGCTACAAATAAAATTTCCTCAGCTGAGAGACTCTGGAATCTACGAATGTCAAGTCAATACGGAACCGAAAATGTCTCTAGCATACAGATTAAACGTTGTTGGTAAGACGGAATTCACAATTTTCTAAGCACGTGCTCCGAATCTAAGACACAGTCGATTTGATTAATTCAGGGTGAAATACATTCAAAGAAAATTAGATATTTTTACATTTACAACGAACAAGTTTATTAGAAATAACCAGTAAATAACCGAATCTCATCTAACCACGATTGGAATTAAGTCCATAATATGATAGGTTAGCATATATTCATCATCATCATAAAGGCCGTCAGTCCTAAGACTGGTTGGGCACGGACCAACATTGTTTCCTACCCTGAGCTAATCTTTGTATTTCCCTAAAACTAGAACATGCTACATCCTTAATTATTTTCGAACAGTAATCTAATCTAGTTCTACCTCTATCCCTCCTAACTCCCGTTTCTGCCTCTAATATGTCTCTTACTAGACCTTCATGTCTGAGAAGGTGTCCTACCAACCTATTTGGCCTATTTCTTATTATCTTCAATAGTCCTCGGTTCTCCTATTCTTTCTAATACCTCTTCATTTCTAACTTTCTCTATCTACGATATCCTCATCATTCGCCTATAACACCACATTTCGAACGCTTCTAACCTTTTCTTTTCCGCAACGCCCAACGTCCATGTTTCGCGCCCGTACAGCATCGCGCTCCAAACATACACCTTTAACAATCTTTTTCGAATTTCTAAGTTAACCGTTCGGTAGAATAGAAATGATAACTTTTTATTGAAGGCGACTCGACCCTGCGTAATCCTCTGCTTTATATCACTATTACTTCTTCCGTCCTGACTTATCTGACTTCTCAGACCCCTAAAACCAGCCACTTCTTCCAATTTTTCGTCTCCTATCTTTACATTCGCTCTTTCCCTAGTTTTTCTTCTCCTGCATACCAGTATTTTTGTTTTACTTTATTTATTTTCATACAATACTGTTTTGTCAATACTACACACTTACATTCATGAGCACAAAATATTATTTATTTTATTGATAACCGTAGGGGTATCTCAGTTATAATATGAATATGATATAAACACGGAGGGTAAAACTTTAAGTAAACATAATGAAAATTATCCCTATTTTATTGCGAAATACGCTGCCCTCTGGCCACTGAACAAATTAATTGCGCGGTGTATAAATAACACTGACAACTTCATGTTTAGCTCGTTGATTTAAGTAAATAACGATTCGCGTTTACTTTAACGTATTGTCAGTAAAATAGGTAAATGCTGGAAGAATTGCAACAGAAATTGTTTCAATTTGCTTTGCTGTTACATTCTCTTTTTCTGACGTAAAAATAGTAGCAGAGTTACTTAATTTGCAAGGTTAATCATACACATGAAATGCCTCAATTATATTGCCAAAATACTACACTAAGCGTCAAAAGTACCTTTCAGTAATATGGTTACCAACTTCAGGGGCTGAAGAGTTTTCTTCAATTGGTGTTCCTACGTATGCTGTGCATCACCTGTTTCACCATCCTAACTCACTTATAATTCAGATTCGCTTCTAATTCTGATTGTATTTTTAATTTTGGTAAACTCTGATTATTTTTAAACGATCGCTAATTGATTGATACGCGAATACTATGTTACAGTGTGATGTTTTCTATTTTAAATTGACAGTAAATCAAAAGACAAAAAATGTGATGCACGAATCCAATAACGATGAAATTATAAAAGTTACTGGTCGCAAAAACTTGTTATTTCTGATTGTGCTTTCAATCTATTGTCAAATAAAAACCATAACGTAAAATAGATACAACGCAACGTTTAAAACGAATCGCCAAATATCAACCACAATGTGATTTTATTGTGACGTAAAGGGATTTATTTCCACTATTAACAGGTTATGCCCATTAAATCAATATAACTGCTCATAACTTAAAAATACCTGCTTTTGTAATTGTTCGTTAATTACGTGTACGTTGAATTTAATCTGTACACATTAACATATGTATTAATAATAAAAAATAGAAGGAGGAGACTGTGGTAAATATTAATTAAAAATTAAAAGGAATACTCACCCCTAATTACCACAGTCTCGCGTTGATAATGCCCACGTGTGAAGTGGGCGAAACACGTGTCCGCTCATATAAAATTATTTGTGGTAATTAGGGGTGAGTATTCCTTTTAATTTTTTAATATGAATTAATAATCTTTATTCTCATAATTTCTATTATTGCCAGAAATCCAGATTGGGATTATGAATTGCTTTTAAACTTTAATTAATGCATGGAAAATAACAAGTTCAGCTCAGTTTTAGTATTTATTTAGTATAAAATAAAGAACGCTGACGGATTTTCTGGTTTAGGGATTTACAAAAAAATGCGTTAAGGGATTAGCCGCAGAAACGTGGAAAATGATTGTTACGATGTTACAGATGCAAAATAGGATAATTGTCTATCTCTAAATCTCAATAATTGTAAATCAAATGCTCTATGAATCTGGCACAGGGGTTGCTAACTTTCAGAAATTTTATGACTAAATAGGTTTATATGTAAACGCATTTGTTATTATATTTAACAGTATACGTAATTAAACCTGTGAGAAAACAAAATTGGCAAGTAAACTGTAATTTGTACAAAGAAGTTTTAGAGCCTTTACTCCTCTTCATGATGTACGCCACTGTTTAGTCCACAACTACATAAATTTTGATAACTATTCTGTAAAATTTCATACCATTAAAACCATAAAATTCGTTCATATTTTATACGGAGAAATAAGTTATGGTGAAGAGAGACTTTTGTTTTTTAATATTCCGTTTAGCGCGCCACATTCGTGATAAATAATGCTAGAGAATATGAATTGGATGGAAATAAAATGAAACGGAGGATTTTTATGAGGTGCCTCTTATCTCGGCTTGAACAGTGGGGTTACGAGCCGCTTGTGAAAATAAAACAACAATTTATACAGACAGAGAGTCATATTTTGCCATTATTGATTTTCCATTTCGACATAAATAATTTAATAGAAAACAACAATAAATTTATAGCGATAAATCGACCACATAAACAGTTGGAGTTCAGCATCTTTAAAATTCATGGTACCTATTACCGGTTCAGCTTGGAAAAGATGGAAGAAAAACCACCATTTCGGTTGCATTGTGTAACTTTAGTTGACCCATTAAAACTTTTTGGGTGTTTCATTCCCACCAGCCAGTAATGCTGGTGGGCGGACAGTCCCTCCGGACTATACCGGAAGGTAGGGCGGAAGGCCCTCTTCAGCCTGCTTTCAGGAATCGTGGGAATGGGTGGGTGGTGGTTCGGGTGAGAAAGATGAGACGGACGAAATGAAGACAGAAGAGAATGAAAGATTATCTGTGGAANACGCTTTGCTGTTAGCGCATTCCATAGCTTGCTAAAACAGTTTGAATATTAGTCTCCCCAATATAATTTATCGTGGGAAGCGTTTCAGTTGCTCTGACTTCTCGTTAAAAATTGTAAAGGATCAACGACTAAAAACGGCTTATCTACCATCACGCAAACGCACGCTTATCCGCGAATACACTATTACTCATAATTGCGTTCGAAGTACTGATATCGTTCTTTTGATTTTGTCACAAATTATGTTGTAACTTTTTGTCAATTCAATTTATCCAATTACCAAATCGTCATTAGAATTATTGCTACAAATTGGGGAAAAAAAACACAGTGGAAACGTTCTATAACTAACATATCTAATATTTACTGCAGCCTAACAGTACCTAGCCTGACTTTAAAAGTAATTTTTTACAAACAATATTAACCAAAATGCTGAAAATATGAACAAATATTACGCCAGCTGTAATGACAAAACAGTTGTGCTATAGGAGATGAAAAATTAGAAGAAGTCGCTGATTTTCAGTATCTATAGGAAGTCAGATAATTCACGATGTAGGAGCAGTAAAGATATAAAACAAAGGAAAGCGTAGAACAAAAAGATGCCAAAATTCTATATTCGCAAACAATTAATTTATAAATTAGAAAAAGATTGTTAAAAGTATATGTGTGGAACAAGGCTGTGTACGAGTGCGAAATGTGAATGGTGGTCGCGGCGAAAACGAAAAGGTTAGAAGCGTTTGAAATGTGGTGTTACAGGTGAGGATATCATGGATAGAGAAGGTTAGAAATAAGGAGGCATTAGAAAGAGTAGGAGAAGAAGAGAAGAGCAGAAATAGAGATAGACCTAGATTAGATTACTGTTCATAAATAGTTGAAGACGTGAATGTTCTAGTTTTAAGGAAATGCAAAGATATACTAGGAATAGGTCAGAGTAGAGGTGCGTGTCCAACCAGTCTTAGAACTGATCATATTATGATAAATATGTGGTGCTTTCTTATTTACGTTATGTACATATCGAGTTAGTGTTCAAAATATTAAAGAAATGTTGACCCCTTTATACCTAATTGAACAGGGGTCAAGTAGACAACAAAATGAAAAAGTACAACATCGGCTTCTAGGTTATTTCCGATTATTTTTCACGCTCTTTTTATTGCTGGGGTCAAAAATGTGTATTCCCATTTTGCAACAATATTTCTCTAACCCTGTCCGTCATTCCTCTTCTTTCAATTCATCTGTTCGGCCTTCTGGAATTCGAATAAATAATACCGAGCTCTACATTTCTGTAATTTTTTGAGTATTGCCACAATGACATAATTTAGTAACAAATAGCGCACTTTCACTTTCTGCATCTACCCCCTATTACTAGTGGACTGTTCCCTTGCTTAAAAGCATATAATCCCTATAATCCCAACGTGTTACTATAAAATTTACTATATATCGGATGATTTTAAAATCTGGCCAACTCTTGGACTATTAAGGTCATCGTCAGCAATTTATCGCAACTATAAATACTTTTTTAATACTTATTACTTCCCATCAGCACCTTAAAGGGAAGTAACCTAAGATAGGATTTATAGATATGTACTGCTTACTGTATTAGTATTTGTTGATTCTTCAAAAATAAACACCTTCCAACCCTTAATTGCCTAGAACTTTATGTTATATTATCCAAACTAGAGAATGAAATAGAGAATAGTATTTTAT